TGTCTACAACCATCCATTCAAGATGACAAATCAAGCGAGTGTACTTTAGCTGAAAAACAAGAAGCAAAAATCCCCCAACCCCGCCTTCCCCTACGCTCGAGGGCTGATGCACAATGTTTCAATACAAAACTCATCAATCTGTGTCACACCGAATGAGAAATCTGACAACTGATGCTAGGGAATGACAATTTGTTTAAGGCGACTAACAAATTTATTAGAAGTTTCTTTTCTATCTGGTTATTTGCTCTGAGGGTTAGGATATGTGCTTAAGGCAACAGACAGTTTGTTCCTTCCTTGATTTGGGAAGGTGTCATAATATCCAGGTACTCCTGATCAAAACCCTTGCAACATACGGCCTTCAATCATTCTCTTAATTACGTTAGAAGCTCTCAAACTCCTAATTTGTAGTGGGCGATACAGAGTGTTTTCTCAGTGCTGGACTCTGGCCATCTTCTACTTGGTAAAAATATGACCGGGTGTATAATAGACAATACAATTTCAAGCAAGGAAATATCAGTTTTTAAGGCTCTTTCTTTGTCACTACTTGTAGGTTAGTGAATGAAAAATACATGTATTTACAAAAAATTTTTTACAGGATCGGACTCTAGTCACTCTTGATAGTGTTTTGTTTTTTGGCTTGCTGCCAAGAATCTCTTTGATAGGAACTTTGCAACAAGAGCTGAGATAGTAGACTCTAAATGATATAATCTTATCCACAATCATTTTGAGTTGTTCATCTCAACAGCTTAAATATAAAACCACTGTAGGATGGGCTACTATTAAGAGCAAAAGTTCCATTTCCATTCAGCGGGTCTCATTTTTGGTCCCTCTGAACCTACTGTTATTACCCCTGATCATCAAGCCAATGAAGCATTCATAAGACCCTAATTTCTCTTGGAAGTGTACCCCTGAATAATGTCACAATGCTGTACACTTAAAAGGACTAATCTATCAACCAAATTTGAGTCAACATGAATTGTTTACTCCTCGGTAGACATAGGGATGAGATTGCCAATTTAAAAAAAAAAAATCTGAAAATGGGATGGAAGGTCTCAAAGGGGCATACTGGTTTATCAGACTGAAAAAGTCTGATTTCAGATGAAAGTCTTAAAAAAAATCTCATGCCTGTAGAGAAAAAGCCATTTCTACCAGGAACTGTGACTGTCCTGAGTCTTCCAATTCAACCACTTGCATCTCCTCACTACAAAGCTGGACTAAAACCCTCAAATCCTAACTTCGGACCACCAGACCACAAGGAACAAAGACAGCACAACTGTCACAAAGAAAGCATTATAACTCAGACTTTATGCATCCAAGAGTTTGCTTGTCAACCGTTCCAGCCACTGAAGCATCAATTAAACGTAAAATTCACACAAGAAAAAAAGCTCTGGGATTCTTAACACAATCCCACTGTCAAAAAGGAAGCTATCGCGGAAATTGTGATTGAGGGGGAGAGAGTTGATCACACCCCCTTCTGACCTGCGATTTCAACCCGCCTAGTCTTCTGCACTTTACATCCCTTCAACTTTCGCAAAAGCACTTTTTCCCATAGATTGGGGCGGAGTGACGTCATCCAATGAAAACATCTACTCATTTGCACACCAGATCATCGGATGCTATGTGTTAGCATTCAGCACTCCAGACTCAAGAACCATTGAGTTTCAAGAACACACATCTAGGAGCTAACTTCCCGGATGTCTGCACCCACCTATAAAGTTAGCAGCAACGAGTATCGATAACAACTTCACATTCCTGCACAATTCTTTCGCATACTTAAAGGGAACATGAAATAAAATTTTGATTGCATTTTTTTTGCTTAAATCAATAAAGGATGATGTTTTTAACAATATTTTGTGTATGGCGGTGTTTATTTTCTGGGATAAATGGGGGAAAATAATTTGTGAACATGTTTGGTCAAACTACTCTGCCCCACAAAGGGAAGCTTCATTAACATAAAACTTTGCGAGGGGTATGACACAAATCAAGGCAGAGACTTGCCGCGCTGCGGGGGGCACCGGCATTGCGGCGTGCATCATAATACATGTATATATACATTGCCGCACTGAAAGTTTTTCTGGTGTTTCGTTCGGAATCGAGGAGAAATAACACCCGATTTTCGGCCATGCCGACAAGGTGTGTGGCTGCTGGGTGTAGCAAAACTACCAAGGATGGAGTAAGCCTTCATTTGTTTCCAGTAAATCCGAAATATCAGAGCATTTGGAGAGCCAAAGTGAAGGTAAATACCAGAGAAAAGTGGTCCGGGCCCAGTGAGTTCTCAGCCCTCTGCGCTGCACTTTGAGCCGTCGTGCTTTGATGCTGGTCTGTACAGCAACTTGGGCATGCCCCTAAAAAAACATCGAGTCAGTGTCTGAATCATTAGAACTCTGATTCGAATTGGACGAATCTGTACCATTTTCATCGGATTCGCTAAGGAAAGAAGAGGAAGAGTCTTCGGAACTTTCACGGTCATGACGGTCGTCGTTGTGTTCATTCGACAACGGTGGCACCGTCGCACGTCCACTGTGCATGTACATGTAGACACATTCGTATGTGTGCATATAATGCCACGTACTTGTACGCGGCGGCTGCACATACACACAGCACAGTAGCTTCGCTAATCTGTCTCGTACCCAGACGTCATTTACGGGCCCTGGATTTCTCTGCCTTTGTTTACGTCATGAACAGCGCCCTCATTTGGAGTTGCCGCGAAAATCAAAAAGGGGGGGGTTCAATTTTGGACGGCAAATTACCACACTAAATGTACACCAGAACCAGTTCTGCTTTTAATTCACATTTAATACACATAAATGAATGTATATATAAAAAAAAATACGTTATGGAAATTTTGGACTGCATGTTTCCTTTAAGCTCAGGGCAAGCAGGCAGATTCAGTCACACATTACTGTTCTCCACAGTACGAAGTGACTCTCTGTGTGACACAGTTACTTTTCACTCCATATCCCTTTACCTGAAAGTAACCTGCAGGGTTTTAAAGGGTTTTAACTATTGCTCTAACTATTAACTTCCCACTAGGAGGGTTAATGCCGCTGTCTGTCGACAAAAATGAACACGATGTGCCTCATGTACTTTGGCAAGGTGCCATTTAGCCCATGCTTGTGCTGTATACTTGTACATACTTATCCTTTAGGCCAAAAAAAAAAAGTCTCCGGTTTCTGGTATGCGCGCACGTCGCCGTAGCCATGCGCGTCGGCAAAATGAAAAAGTTTTTTTTTCAATACAAGATGATGTCTCAAAACTGCCAAACTCACTGGTTGGACTGGAATCCTGCTGCTGCACAATTTTTTTTTCAATACAAGATGATGTCTCAAAACCGCCAAACTCACTGGTTTGACTGGAATCCTGCTGCTGCACAATTTTAACGTGTTTTTAGATGGGGTTATGATCGAGAATAAGCTTTATGTGGCCTCTCTGGACTCCCATATATTTGCACTAAGTTTAGTCGGCACCATTTGCAGTCATCAGCCGACATTTGAAGCCAAAAAAAAAAAAAAAACAGGTAAAAAAAAAAAAAAAAAAAAGCCGCGTCGCCGCACCACTTTTTGGGCAAGCTCCATACCAGAAACCGGAGACTTTTTTTTTTGGCCTTACTGCAATGCCACTTAATTTGATGCAAAAATCAAGACGCCTTGATTGTGACGTCTTGACAAAATTCCATCTACAACTACCCCCTAAATGGCGGCCATGCACATAAACAGGTGCATGTACATTATGAGCGTGCTCGATTACTTCCCTGCCCTTACTCGTGCCTCTAAATCGCGGAAAGGTGCACATGCGCAATAACGTGAGAGTAAGCGATCTCGGGTTACTTGATGACGTACGAGTGACATACGCAGCCCCTTTTTACAGTGGATTGGTTTTAAATAATTATATTTAAGGTGACATACTTGACTGTAGCCATGCTGCTTCAGACACAATGTGTCAAATTTCCGCCCATCATCCAGAGCTTTCTGGAAACAAATTTTCGTTTTTGAAGTTCCCACTGCTGGCTTCTTGCCAGACGTGACAGCCACGGTTTAGCATGGCTTTATGAGATACTTACCCAAGTAACCGGCTCAGCGTGTCAGTTACTTGGGGCAGGCTCGAGTAAGCGAGAGAAGTCACGTGAGAGTTAAATCGAATGCAGTCAGGCTTGCACAAGTAATCATGGGGAAGTAATCGATCACGCTACATGTGTCCCACATACTGGACCTCTCAGGAGTTCATAGTCAAGCATCAAATAGACTGATTCATTACGCCCCGCCCAATGGTATTTTGACCAATCACAGCCATTAACCCTAACTCCCTAGCGTCTTTTACTAGGAACTGGACCAATTCCATCAAAATCTATCAATCACTGTGCGTCTAATACAAAACTGTACATGACATAATGGAATCCACCACTGACGCACTGGTTGACATTCATGGACTTGCTACACATGGCTTTTATCACAATAGCAGTACAGGAAGCTAGGCAAAATCAATCGGATACCCCTAGCACTGCTCCAGGCCATTTGGCCCAAGTCCATCATACTCCATCAATATTTAGTTACCCCAGGCCTTCTGGACCAAGTCCCCCAAAATGGGGTGATGGATTTTGATGGAGTTGGGGTGGTTAGGGTTAATGTCCTACATGCGTCCCCGGAAGCCCTACATGTATGGGTGTACGTGCACGTAACGCACGTAGTTTGAACATACAGTGTGGCATTGGAGAGGCACACATGTTGTTTCCCATGTGTGCAGTGGGTGGGGCCTAATGATGCAGAGGTGTGTGTGTTGTTACCCATGTGTGCAGTGGGCGGGGCCTAATGGTTTGGTCTACTGATGTTGTGACATTTGTTTCAATAACTCCAACCCCTCTGGAAGTATTTCAAAACAACCCTGCTGAACCCAACTGTGCCCAACAGCTAGAAGAAAAGACTTTCTGCCCAAAAGCCAATTTGTGCTGTTGGATCTTTGTTGGGTCCATCACGGTTGAGTTTCATAGCTCAAATCCACCGTACCTTCTTTGAGTTTCTTTCTGAGTTTGGCGTGGACGCCTTTCACCACACCGCTCACTTTCTTCTCACAGTCCTCTTCACAGCAGGAGCATGTGGATGACATCTTTCTGAGAAAAAAAAATGGGAAACAGACTCCTAAATACAGGCATGCAACTGGGAAATCACAAAAAAGAGGAAATTCAAATTTTTCCCAGACTTTGTACAGTGTTTTTCTATTTTCAATGGCACACATGGGAAGTAAAAAAAGAGGAAATCAGCTGATCCGAGGAAAAGTTGCACGCCTGTAAATAGGTTACTGTCACAAAAAAAAGTATTTTACCAACACCTCATGCACGATTAACATTGGCTTTCAGATTTTGGATCTACCCTTAAGGGGCAAAACCTACCTTGCCGATATAAGGAGACAGAGAAGTTGGCAAGACTGGGGAAGGGGACGGAAGGAAACAAGCTCTGATTTTCAAAAATGCCGGAAATTAAATGGATCCGTCTCAAATTAACATTCAAATCACTATCACAACAGTGGATTTTGGTGCAAATGTTGTCACTTACTGCATCCTTACAATTTCATACGAAAATATTAATATGGCAAGAAACTTGAGCCCTTACTTTGACAATGCATCCGAATTTAATTGGCTGGGGCTTTTAATTGAAACGTTGAAACCACTTCTGACTGACACATACATGTGTTATTCCCAACTGCAGCCAAGTAATCTGAAAGCGCCCTCTTATAGTTCATCCATGGAACCTATACCAGGTTCCAATCATACAGCTTCAAAGTAACACCCCTCTGTATTTTTCTCACAGTTTTTGCCATCCACCACAGCTTTGAAGGTTTGCCTACTTCCTATGGCTCATGGTGCTATAAGAGCTTTGCCTACTACAATGGTGGAGCTGACTTTCCGGTACCCAGACGTAGGTCGGGTCACGTGGGTCAGTGGGAGTCCTCTATACTCTCTATAGTCTGTTTCCGTTGACTGCATGTACCATAACCAAAAGTCTGTCCGGCAAAAAAGTTACAGCATAATGCTGCATTCCAACGGTGATATTCTTGTTATTATCCCTAACTCCCTAGGCCTTTTTGCTAGGATGTAGCCTCAATCCTGCAAAATCCTCCAATTGGCCTCATGGAAAAATAGCATATATAGCCTCAATCCTGCAAATTCCTCCGTTGTTTCTTGAATATGGTCCGTGCAGGGGTGACCACTGCCTGAATCCTGCAAAATCCTCCGGCTATGACTGTCAATAGGCTGAGGCAGAGGCAGTGACATCCTGGAGCAGTGCGGAGGATGTCAAGTATAATCAAGGACTAAATTTATGCACGGCTGAGCATAAACAACACAAGGTCCGGCCCAAGACCTTGACACAGTGCGTACTCCGAAATCAGCAACGCACTTTGGCCATGTAACCTCAATTCTGCAAATTCCTCCAATTTGCAAAAAGGATTTTGGAGGATTCAGGGCGATTAGGATTATTGAAGTCAGGAGCTGCAGTCCGAGTGTAGAGTCATGATTTCAAATTAATAACTATCACCTCCACTTTTAGTCCGAAAATTTGGGACTCTCAATACCATGTATGAGAGTCCCAGTCCAACAACCCTTTAGTACTGCATCAATCAACTGTGTCAAAAGAAACATATCTGGTATGCAGTCTTCATAGTCTGCCACCAGACCACTGAAGGGTCAATCTTTTCAAACCATTAAACGTGTGCCAGTCTACTCTTAGGCTACAACTTGAAATCACTTGGCTTCACTCTCAGGTGCAAAATGTTGGAGAAAAGTCTCCTTTAAAAAATTGAATTGGGACTTCAAACTTGGTTGGTGAAATACTGAGGACCTTTTAGCCTCATGAAAATTTTGGAGAATTTTGTTGGCTTAAAGTTAAAGAGAGAGTAAAGTTTTTTTTTTCACTCACGGTCCCAGTCTGCCACTATAACTACGTGCAGTGAACCACAAGATGTTTTTGCTAATGTGCATTTTTTGAGAGGAAACAACTAACAGCCAAGACATAGCATAATAATCAAAATGCAACATGACCTCTGGTTAATTATACTTACATTATATAAGTAATTTTTTTTTACTCAATCAGGATTTTTCTCAATCACAACACATGGGTCAGGTTTAGACTGGCTAAGCTGTCCTTACAGCACAGAGCACCTGCATCAAAATGAAAAAAAAAACATTGAAATAATGAATAATTAATTGTATCAATATATCTTATGCGTAGCAGCCATCTTAAAGGGCAATTTGTTTTGCCTTGATATGTACGAGTGAACCTATTGTGTCTTCGTTGTTGCTGAATTCAAATAACACAAGATTGCCACTACGCATAACGTCATAACCTTGCAGCAGCTAAATGTATTCAAATATGATGGAACTTGGTTTCCTGTTTGCCCTACCCCCTCAGCCCCCCCCCCCCAAACACACAAGTGTGTATTTGCCTGCAATCGGCACCCCTATATTGTCCCTCTTTGTTTGTGCATGTAGTAACTTTTTAGGAAGACCTCCCATATGTTTTGTACACGAATCCAAATTGGGGACCTCTCGGGAATTGGGGACCCTATTGTCCTCTAATGTTCAATGTCCCCTATTGAAAGCAGCAACAAAGTCATACACACAGAGGTTTGTTTATGGTGTAAATGGAGGATTTGGGAATAAATGTTGCATCCCGATGCCACTTTTTCCATCATATATTATCTCAATGAAGGTCAGTCATACCAAAAATGTAGAAAAGACATGAATCTGGGACTGAGAAAAATTTCCAATGTTGTTAGGAAAGGAAAGAATGTTGCAACCCGATGCTATTTTTTTCTTCATATACATTTTGTATCATCTCAATGAAGGTCAGTCGTTGCAGAAATGATGATAAGAGTAGACATGAATCTGGGACTGAGAAACATTTCCAATTTTGTTAGGAAATACTTAGAAAATTGTCTTGACTCTTCATAGACTTTGTACACAAATGCTGAAGTGGCGTCAGGTTGCAACATTCTTTCCTTAGGAAATACTTAGATTAGAACATTTTCTTGACTCTCCATAGACTTTGTGCACTCTCCTTGTAACAGTAATTACAACTTATAGACCGCTTGCAGATGCGTTCCATAATCGATGCGCGAAGGCGCGCGACGCCATGTTGTGGGACAAGCGCATATCTATCCATGCACATTTTGTCCCACAACATGGCGTCGCGCACCTTCGCGCGTCAATTATCGAACGCGTCTGCAAGCGGTCTATAGGGAAGCTGGGTGAACGTGAAGTTTGTCATTACACCTTTTTGAATGCACGTTGATTAAATATGACGGTGAAAGATCATGGGTTACATTTCACAGCTCTATACACATAACATGAAAATACTGGTCGGGAAACAATAGAGAGCTTGCACAGAGCGCCCTCACAGTATCATGCTCATGTTACAACTGAACTAGTCCTTCAATGATCTAAAAAAAAGGGCTTCAGTTTACTTTATATTATTATTACTATTACTAGCCAACGTTGGATGCCCTCTTCATTGCATTTATGACTAAAAAAGAGAAAGAGTCATGACAAATCTAACTTGTGTAATAAGATATGTTTGTTCTTAGCTGATCATGACTTTTTTCTAGTGCAGTTCAGTTGTGCAGTAAACTGTTAGTGTTACAATTTTAATACACAGACTGATGCAACTCTAAAAATCGCTGGTCCCCACACCAAACGAGTACAGACAGCATATGCCCCATGGAACCAGTGCACACAATGCATTGACAGTGTACACACACATGATCACTACCGAATGCAAACAGTAAATTTTGATCCAAAAAATGTGATCAATGTGCACTGAAAATCGATTGTTACAATGCTATAAAGACAGGTATTGCAATTTTTACTATGGCTTATATTGACCACAAACAACGTTCCACAAGCCATGCACAAAACTGACAAACACATTGAAATTGTCACCGAAATCTTGAGTTGCAGTCGACGGCGCTCAAACATTCACACCATCGTGCACCATGCTTGTTTACGCAGCAGGTTAAGCTGACGTCATGATCGGACACAGTGCGACTAGAAACAACAATGAATTCTGGATCTGAAATAGTCCGAAATTCATCCTGAAGTGGATTTTGTTGCAATTACCAAGGCACAGGGGTGAACACAAATACCATATCGTATCACTGGTACATATATTCGAAGGAAAGGGGAATTTATTGGACAGTTTAGGTTGGAATTGTCCCGGCTAGGGGCGGACCGATAATCAGCGTTGTTTATCGAGATGCGCCTTTACATTTGCTGTACACAAAATTCGATGTCTCAGTCTCGTCTCTAAATCAAGAGAATTTCACAACCCTGTTCCGCGCTGGGCTCGATTCTTGCAAGAAAATCCCAAGGTAGGTACCAAGCATTACAAATCAAGGGTGATTCTGCTGCAAGCTTAGCTCGATTTTGTATAAACTGCTTGGTTCTTATTATGTATTTTTGTTGTTGTTTGTGGCAATGGAAGTCTTTCTCTGCCTGTGGAATAAATAAATTTGCATAGTGAACAACACAATCTGCAGCTAGCTAGCTTTACATGTGTGCGACCGGCCATGCGCGATGCATGCATACAACGTGCATTGTGATATTACAATACATCCGGACTCCGAATGGACTCTCGCAAAGAGAGCAAACTTACCGACGGCAAAAGTAGGGGTTGCTGAGGCAAATTGTGGTCCATTTCGATTGAAGCGCGTACAATAAATGGCCAAAATGGACGAGATGAAGAACATAAATTTATAATTGGAGTCGTTTTTAAAAGAAGTTTAGGCTCTACTGTTGTCGAAAAATTATGTCTTTTTAATTTCAATTCGAGCTTCGACTTCGTGACTGACCCTGGCCGTCCAAATCTGAATATAACGCCATTATGAGTAGGGATGACTAGCTTGCATGATTTGATCTGAATTGTAGTGAAAGAATAGATTTATATTATTACTATCAACTAGGGTGGCATTTTCTGACACAGTTTGCTGTGAATAAGTGTCGTTTTGAGAATGAAGATCGACTGAATTCCCTCTTTATCGTGGCCCTTGCCTTGGCCTTTGGGCCTACACAAAACTTTTTAAAAAGGCTAAAAAAAAAAGGGGGGGGGGTAACTTAATCATGTTAATTGGAACATGTCATTGTCATAGAGCTCTATGTCTATGTTTGGACCATGGAGGAAGGAACACCTACACCATTGTTGGACTGATTATTTCATTTTCATTAACTATTATGATACTAAACTTGCAAATCTCAAAATTAAGTTCTAGCAGAGTTTCATTAGGCCGAATTAAAAAAACAAACCTGTTTCTCGTCCGTGGTTTTTGAAAAAAAGGAGGAAGCGGGGCTTTTTATTTTCTATTTTTAATTTTTTTTTCAAGATGACTGCCATTTTAAAATTTCCTGCAACCGTTGGTGTTCCACTGCTCAAAGACGCTTTTAAAATGAAAGACAAGTTGGACAAGAGAACTGAACATATTTTCAGTGTCATTTAGAGTTGTATTGGTATTGATATTTATTTTCCGATGAATTTGTGGACTTTTTCGGTGTTTTTTACTGCATTTTTCAAAAATAAAAAATAATAAAAAAATCCAGGCGGCCTCCAAAAAGGAAGCGGGCAGGGACGAGAAACTTTTTTTTTTTACTTCGCCTTTGGTAGGCCTACATGTCATTGGTGTTCACATCACAATCATTAGTATGATTGATAGATTGTCATGTCCTGTCCGGTAAGTGTTACTCTAACACCTTACGATACATTTGGAACCTTCAGTGTCAGACCAAAGGCAAAGTATTGTGAAGTAGGCCAATTTTAAAAATAGTTGTAACCAAGGATTTTGAACAGTTGCCAATTCTTTCTAATGACTGTACCCATATCCAACAAATGGTGAAGTCATTTATGGGGGCCTCCAGTGTTGCCAACATATTCACATCACAGATGTGAGTCCACGGAGGAATACATTCATAAATTCCTCCATGGTAAGTCTATCACACGTCAAATCACTAGTCAGGCTACAAGTAACACCTTGAACTTTGAAAAGGGAATGCCTTCGTCCGGCCCAGTTCATGTGAATAGTTTGTCTATATTGACCTTGACACTTAACTGGTATTGGTAAGGACTTTGCATAAAACAAGAACTCCCTCCAAACACCCCATTTTATCACTTTCATCATTTTTTTTTTTTAACCTTAATTATCCTAAAACAGAATACAATGTACTACCTTCCCAAAATGGCCAAATACTCCAAATTCCTCGATCATACAATAAAACAAGTGGCAATCTATTCTTCATGCCCACAACAAAATTGGAGTATTTGGGCTGTACCTCCCTCAATCCTGAATCTTCTTAAATCTCTTGGAGATCTGAAGTTCTGAAAATGAAATTTGCAGTCTTCAATTCCCTGAAAATTCTATTTTTTCCTGTTCAACTTGTATGTTTTCCAACTAAAAAAAACCCAACTTTTTAAATATTATATATTTTTTTGGAGGAGGGAGGCATCTTCAACCATATTTAAAAACAAACAAACAGACCCAACTAATACTAGGAGATTGGTATTAGCCTAACCATGAGAATGGAATTATTGTCAGGCTGCAAGTAATCAAAAATTTGTTAAGTAATAATTCAATAACTGAACATGAGCCGATTGGTTTTTTTGGGGGGGGGGGATCGATGTCTCATTCAAAAGTATTACCAAGTTATATTGTTAGAAAAATAGCAGTTTAACAAAAGAATATATACTTTAGATAAAATTCCAAAGTAGCATGGGATTGCAACTTAAAACCATTTTATTAAGTTTGCAGGCATGTAACTTTTCCTCGGATCCGCTGATTTCCTCGTTTTTAACTTCTCATTACAAATTTGAAAAAAAAATTCATTCTCATTACAAATTGAAAAAAAAAATGTACAAAGTCTTGCGTGATTTGGAGTTTCCTCGTTTTTTTCTAAATTTCCAGTTGCATGCCTGAGTTTGGCATTTATTTATCTGGGCTTTTTAAGAAATAGACACCGCAATTAAATGTTTAAGAAAAGGTGGTTATAAATAATGGGCAAAAATTGAAGACATGTTGTTGACAATGCATACTGACTAAGTTTACTGCATTGGTTGGCATGGTAATTTTAGTTGTTCATGTTCAAGGACAAATGTATCTGAGAATCCAGCTGTCTCCTGGAACATTTCTAGGGGGCAGCAAGTCAAGGATTGTGGGGGGGGAGATAATGTAATTGCTGAACCAAAGTTGCAGGACTGTGTTTCCTACTTTGTGAGACAACATGCATGATAAATACTTTAAATCAGAGAAGTACTCGTGTTGTACTATTACATTTTTTTTGTAATTGCCACCAACATTGGTGTGCATAAAGTTAATAAGACCAATTCTGTTGCTTTTTATATTTTTCCCTCATCCTTTGTTGATATATACAATGCATGTGTGTGATTTTTATTGTGTCATTTATCAAAATCTCAAGAATTGTTAGATGAAGAATCTTTCGCTGTCAGGTGCGTGTTTGGACTAGGACTAAGGATGCTTTTAAGTTGTGACGTTGCGTCCACTTCACAATATGACCACCATCTGTTGTTTACTACAAACACAAAGCCTCGAGGCACATAATCCTGTGCGGTTCCCAATGGCGATAATTCAAAATGGAATTCACAGTCTTTAAAGGAATCACTGCGACCCACAAATGCCAAATTTTAGCTGACAATGAACGTGCCCTGTTGATAAATAACACGATGGTAAATCGCTAATTCTGAATTGCTGAAATTGGAGCTTTCAGGGTTTCGCTAAATTTTGAGTTAACAATATTGATTCCCTGATTTTATTTCCATGGAATTTCTCACAAAAACTGTATTTATGCAAATTTCCCAGCAAAACACTTCCTGCTGTAAATTCCTGCTTCCTGCATAACTACCGACACATCTCCCTGATTCCGTTGGTCTCTTGGTTCAATTTTTTTGGGTCGCGCTCCGTGCAGTGATGCAGAGCCATTTAAAATGGTAATCGCGTTAATAATGGCCACTCAGATGTTGCTTCTCGTCTCTTTGCTTGCCAGCGAGTGAAACATAATAGCCCAAATAAAATAATGATGGTGCTCTGCCTAGTCTTTAGAATAATACACTTGCTCGGTTCTCTTCCCCGAGTGGCATCGACCAAGGAGCTTTCTACTCCGAAAGGAAAAAAGAAATGCGCGGAGGTTGGGTGTGTGTTTGTTTACCCGTTGCTTGTTTTGTGTTGGCTGTTGTTTACATAGTAAAATGGCCGGGCCTAGGTGGTTCATTTGCCCTCGCATATAACAACAAGGTTTTGAATGCACAGCTGCCAACCTGCCGTTAGTCTTGTTTGTGCAATGGAGGTTCTTGCCCCATTTATTATTTATCCTGGCTTTTCTCAGCGCTGAATATCCAATTTGATCAAGGGGGAAGGGGGGATGGTTGTTGTGGTGGGAAAGTGGTGCCATTTACTTTTGAAAGAATGGATTATGTGTGGGGTTGCTATTGTTCCGTGGTGAAAAAGCTCTTTGTGGTTCAAGTGTAAATTGGCCTGTCGTAGACTGGTCAACCACAATGAACAGACATGCTGTCTTTGTCGATGTGCTTGACTTGTTCCATTCCATAATTAAAATTTAAATAATTTCAAATGTTATCACATTAACTTGACTTTATTTATACATGTAATTGATGTGAGCATGAATAAAAAATGCAAACAGCTTTAATTGAGAAAATTCAAATGAATCAAATTTTCAAACCTTCATTTTCATGCAATAAAAAGCTTTGAAACCAGAATGTCCTCATGAATGCCAACCAGTGTGTAGGTGGTGTCCATTTCCTATAAAATGGGTCTAAAGAACACAGGTATTTGCATACAAGCCACCCCATTGGCTAGCACTGTGTGAAGGTGGTGCAAATGTCATGTGAAATGGATCCGCTTCATTTGCATACAAGCCTCCCCATTGGCTAGCACTGTGTGAAGGTGGTGCCAATGTCATATGAAATGGATCCCCTTCATTTGCATACAAGCCTCCCCATTGGCTAGCACTGTGTGAAGGTGGTGCCAATGTCATGTGAAATGGATCCTTTTCATTTGCATACAAGCCTCCCCATTGGCTAGCACTGTATGAAGGTGGTGCCAATGACATGTGAATTGATCACCTTCATTTGCATACAAGCCTCCCTATTGGCTAGCACCCGTGTAACTTTCAACCAATGAGTCACTGCAGTAGGGCCCTGTGCAGGTGACATGGGTTCTACACAATACTAGTAAACCTTACTTGAGGGAACTATCATTCTTGCAGTGGAATACATACATGTACATGTATGTACCTTTGAGGAAGCTCTATGATAAACTGTTGCATGTACCAGAGATTTTTGTCAACTAAGTACAATATTCATTTTTTTGTTACCTATTTGTAAATTTTGAAGTTTTGAAACTTGAAATGAAAGAAAGAAGAACACTTTTTCTTGAGATGCTTGTTTTATTCTGAAAGATTATGCCATATTGTTCATTGGACACATCTTGAAATTCTGGCTTAGACTGTCATATATTTTTTGTTAAAACATTTAAAATGAATGTTTTTGATGTGCCACAAGTAAAATATTTTAATAGTTGGACTCGTGATTTTTTGTTCGATTTCCTGTTTCATTTCACTTCCCGTTTACACCATAAAACATAACAACACCGCAGAAAGTTTTGTTGTGGTTGGCTTGGAATGTCCTTAAGGAGTAGGGGGACTTTTCACGTTGAATGCCTGAATTCTGAAGGTTTCAATTTCGAATCAAGTGATAATATGTATCTGATGTTAGTTTTCTAAAAGAAAAATTGCTGTTATAATATGTAGGTATTACTAGGTTAAAATATGAGTCACCCCATACATGGCCCCAATGTCTATAGATTGATTGTTTGTATTAGCTTTACTTTATTTGTCCCCCTCAAAAACAATATCTCACCCATCCCGCCACGATGGAACAGTCCCGCCAAGATTAAATTACTGACCTCTGTATGTAGCTGGCTTTGGATAAACAAGCCAACAACATTAGCATAATAACAAGTGTATTGAAGATTAATGGAAAGGGGAATCTAAACAAGAAATGCATTCGTTGTTTACACAACTCCCTAGATAAATGTCAGAGGGAAGTGGTCTGTTTTCTCTGCTGTTTGCCATTGTGTATACAAAGTTCTCCAAGTAAATTTATTCGTACATAATGCGCTGCACTTGCGATTAAACAGCACTAAAAGCAGTGAGGGATATTATACTTTGAGATATTATCCCGGCTATAAAATTGATTTTACTTTCGGTCAATCTTCCAAGAAAGTATTTGTATATTATAGGTGAATGTTTTCCTTTTTCCAAAGCAAACAAACACACACACACTAAAACCAGAAAAATACTATTCTGCAACTTATATTCATCCATAAATTTACCTTTTACAAAAAGACAATTGTAAAAACGCAATCAGAAAAAAAAGAAAGGAAAACCAAACTCTGAAAAAATTTGATGGATGATTTTTTTTTTGTTGAATTAATTGTCAACATTTCAGTTTCACATGTCACAGTTTAGCATTGTATCGGGTTTCCAGTGAATTAAAACAAAATGTAACCAAAAGTGGACTTACTCATTAGGCAATCAATATAATTTAAGTGATAAAAAAAGGAGCTGACTGATTTTCCATACAACTTGGTGACACAGTCCCAATTGTGTTGGTTGAGTGTAAGGTCAAAAAGGCTTCGACTTATTGTTCGAACAATGTGTGAGTAAATAGGAATGGTCTAGGGCTTACTGAGTTGGCAGTGTTTTTTGGTTTTGGTTCGTTGGCCGGCTCAACGAAAAAGAGACATAACCAGGTGAGTAGAAATGAGTATACCTGGATAATGTTCAGGCTGTAGTGCCAATGCTTCAGCTTCCAAACAAACGATGACAAATGATTATTTTACGAGCGCTTCCCTGAACCCATACAATCCAAAATTGGAAGTTTGCAGAAAAAAAGTTTCCTAATCAATCCCAGTTGATGAATTTTGTTTGGCCGGCGATGCTGTTCCTGACAGTGCTGCCTGTTTGTGTGCTGGGAATGCGCCATTACCCGCGGTTGTTTTTCAGATCCTCGGAGGGGGTCAGTCTTAAAACACTGTGAAAATAATTGGCCAATTACCGGTGGTGTCCGCTAAGTTGAAGTCCCCTTCATGTTCGTGTATGGAGCTGATCTACACGATGTTTTCCCTGATGTCAGGATTTCAACTATATTGAGTTTGGCTTGATTTCATTAGCCCCCTACATTCTATTTCCTCCTCTGCGTGTCACATATTTGTCAGTCTCCTTCCGTTGCTCTCAGACAGTCTTCTTCATTTTTAGAACTTTGCCTCATAATTGGAGGAAATTCCGGCACTGTCCTAGAGAGATGAGAGTGAAGGTAGGGGGGAGGGGAAGATGGGTGGGGGGAGGGGGGCCTTGTTGGAAGGTGTTTGTAGAGGCGAGAGTCAACGAGGGGGTGATGTTGGGGATTGTGTGGATGAGAAGAGAAGGGGGCGTTGAGGAGGGGGAGGATTCCCTTGAAGATGTTCTGCCGACACTTATCCCAAGGTGGATTTTTCAGCAAGAGGCATTAAAGCTATCACGCTTCCACTCAATCTTTTATTCTTGTTGGGGTATTCTTTATGGTTTTTTTCTTCGTACATTAAAGGAGACATCCCTTTTACCCATCTCATCCTGCTCTGCCAAAATTAGCTCGGAGGCAGCTTAAATTGTGCTTTCATCATAATCCTTGAGTTTACTTTTCTCGCTGGTGTACAATGTACTAGCGGTAGCTTCATGTATTTTACCAGTCAAAAGTGTGATGGACCAGTGAGTACACTCCCCAAATAGGCCTGATCTGACAAGCGGGGTTATAGTTACTGTGTTTTCTCGGAAAACTTTTCGCTTTAGTAACTTGTCACTTTCATATTATAATGTAAAATGTAAAAATTGGGTGGGGATCGTCATTTCTTCAATCGTATGAGGTATGTCACTCAAATAAATATAGAATGTAAAAAAAATGAATACTAAAAAGTAATAAACATCCATTGTGGACTAATTATTTAAATAGGCCTACTGATTGATTTTTTTAAAACTGAGTTTTATGTAATTGGTCAGGCCATCTAGAAAATATAAAGTTAAGAGAAACCCTATAATTCAGCTAGTCTTGTGTTAACTTCGGTCTTCCGTACTTGTCCTATAGATTCAGGCACATCTGAGCATTACAAAAAAGACCAGCCTTGAAGAACATACATGCAGTATTATGACGCGTTTTCAACAACAACATTCTCCCGAGCATCCCTGGAGAGAGCCATAAGCTATAATTAGTGGCAATGATCATCAGAGTGACTTGTTTTGTTTGGTTTCGTTGGAGTTTCTAACCCCAAATCCCAGCTCTGGGAAACACTGGACATTTCCTTTCTCTTCAGTATTGCTTCCCAGCTTTGTGTTCATTAAAGTAAAAATGTTTGAACGGAGTCTTGTGTTACTGTACAAGTGTAAAACTTTTTATTGTTGCCACTGATTTCAAGAACCTGTCGAGTACAGAATTTGGCTAAGCATACAAAAGATTTGCTTGGCAAAAACTGGTTACCACTGACAATGTAATCTGATAAACGTTTCTGTTGGCTGGTGCTCTGCTGTTTATGCTTAGCACATAAAACGTGCTTAGCAACATTTTCTGCTCAGAAACTACCTCTCTGCTCTCTATTTGATTACAATTTTATGTAAATTTTCAACTGAATTAGAAACAATTAGTCCTGGCCGTTTTACTTGAATTGTTGAATTGGTCTTTCTCTTGCTGTTTTTAAGTTTAAAATTTTATTTGGGGTTGTATACTGAATTTTTAATACTTAATTAACCAGTTCACGCCTGGATAATTTTGACAGTGACCGGACCCAGGCGCGGGATTGTTTTGCACGAACCTGGATGCCAGACGGGTTCAGGCCGTCGTCTGCAGGTAGCACACCCTGATATTTCTGGCCTCGCTCGCTGGGAGCGGGTGGCAGACAGATATTTCCGGCCTCGCTTGTTGCGTGTTTATCCGTCGTCCGTTATAAAAACTGCAAAACCTTTGCGTGTATACAAATCATCCGACGTGAACTGGTTAAGACCTCATGTACAGTAAGTTTGCATGAAATTCTTTTAAAAAATTTTTAAAAATGAAAAAAAATTCAAATCTTGATTTGATCAGTTCACACACACATGTATGTAAATTACAACTTTGCAACCTAAGCTGACTTATACCGGTAGTTAAGAGTAAAGTACGATTTTACTTCTAGTTTTTTTTTTTTTACATCTAAGTACTGTTTTCTTCTAGACCCTGGAGGGAAGTTACATCCTTACTCCAGTGATGATCTGTTTTCATTCAATCTGTCAGGAAGCTGAAATCAGTAACTGCGACTTGGTTCAGGGGAATCTGTTTTTTGTTTTTCTTAAAAGTGCTGTCTTCATACATTGTGTGCTCTGCACCAAGGCAGGCAATGACTTTGTGGAAAAAAGCTTTCATCAGATAGGCCTGGGAGACAAGGCCAAATAGTATACAAATATTTTCCTTTACATCTTCGATTTCCTCTGAAAATATTGTGTGGAAGTGGCAGTCTTTCAAGACGATCCTGTTTCTATTTGCATATTGGAGGCTGCTCTGGACAAAAATAACCCCCTACAAACAGAGAGTGTTTGTAGCATTGGCTGTCAAAGACTGTCCCTACGACCTCTTCCAAGGGTCTTGACAAGGCACAGTACAGAAAGAAAACAAGCCTGCGGCGTGAATGTTTGTCAGTTACAATGCATCCTATTGCCAGGCGTCTTCTATTGCCTAATTTTGCATCATAATCTAAGGTTTCCTGTTTTTACCACCTGTTTTCCTTGGAACATACTTCCTCCCCACGATCTTCTCATCATCTCCTTGGTTGGAACTCAAGTCAGGATGCTCACACTGTCCTAACCTCTGCGGCCCCCAGCTCCCAAAACAACCGATAATTACCTCAAGTTCCTTAGCTAGCTCTTCAGAGAGAGAAAGAGAGAGAGTGAGAGAGTAGCTCTCACGATAAAATTTAATCAAGTTCATCGCCTGGACACCTCAAGTGACGAGCGTGGTCAACGAACGTGCTCATCTTTGCAAATATGAAAAGCTGTTCTGCAGCAATTACTCCTAAGTTGAGAACCTTCTGTCAGTTTGGACCGTGGAAGAGGTGAGATAATAACCAGATAATTCGGTTTGTTGGTCTCGATGGAGATGCCAGTAGTAGGTGTGCCTTTTTGCCAGTTTTTAACTACTCTTTCACTCTTGATTCCCAGTAAGCTTTTTGCTCCGTGCGGGTGACGGCGGACTGCGAATAATACAGACTGAGGAAAAGACGTGTCTGTTAATGGCTAATGTCATCTTTTGTTAGCCACTTATTGTCCATCTTCACGCTTGATTGCAGGCTAGGCCTGTCTTTGAAAACAAGTGACAAGTGCCCTGATGGCAAGAAAAGTCCCAATCAAATCAGCCCCCACCGTATCATGCAATCGTATTCCTCCAGGAATAAGAATTCTTTATCTCATCAAACTAAGTGCTGGTGATTGATCGTCGGACAAAAAAAAAAGTGACATCACATGAAACTGTCTCTCTATGTCTATATACATGTGTGATTTCCCAAAGTTTGGATTCTGTAACAGTATGATGAGTAGATTGTAAGTAGTTTTCCTCCCTGCTTATAAAAGGCAGACGTACAGCCGGCCAGTCCGTACTTGTGTTTATGTACACACGTGAGGATCCCACTGTCCTGTTTCAAGTGCGCCAGCAGAGAGGCATGACAGGTGTATAATTAATCGGTTGTGGCAGTGTTATTGTTTCCCTGTCGGTGCAATGATGGGGGAATGGTATTACCCTCGCGTCCCGGTCGCTATCCACTCCGACTATGTCATGGAGTCTAACTGCTATCAGGTAAGTCTTCAGATGACCCCCGGTGTATTTAGTCATAAATAGAAAATTGGAAATCCATCGTTGATTCTGGTTTTGATAGCCATAACTGCAGAAGGCGTCTTATCAAGTGTGATCATTGTGCGTGTGTGGATGTTGGGCCACTTTGTCATCGTACAGCCTTGTAATGGGTCCGATGGGATGGCATCATAGGTTTGCAAAAACTCGGTATTTTATTATGTGTCCACTGAGTGACCTCATTTGACCTCATTTGGTGAAAGTAATGTTAAAGTGGAATGCATGCGTAGAGAGATATTGCCTGTGATGTACTTCACTGTTGCTTAAGGGCAGCTGACTTTTCTATGATACATGTACATTGTACATGTACTGGTGTACTTGGTACTTTGATGTAGATATCTGTGCTGAGCCAACTGATGTTTCTTCACAAGGTGTTGGCCTTTTGAGAGATAGCGGACACAACAGGAGGGCACTATTTGCTGTTGGTGAATTTGGGTCAATACAAAAGAAGAAAGTGCACCAAAACCAAATAGTGCCCTATTGTGGTCACTACGTGTGTTTCTCTAAACGGCTACAAATGTCGTGCATTGAAACTCAAATGGTCAATGTATAATAATTTTCAAGATTTTTTAAATTGAAAAGCCTATTAAGAATCCTGTTTTCAATACTACATGTAGGCCTATTATCAGGCAGGTGTTTCCAATTTTTTTTTAATGTGGCATTGACTCGAAGAATTTCTTAAAGGATAATTTCGTACTGGGCAAAAAGTATTAGTTATTACCCCACTCAAGTTGTATATATTACCATATTTCACCAGTCAGGGAACCTTTGCAAAGAGGCCAATATGTAAAAAAACTCCCACGTTTACCCTTGAAATATATTCCAATCATAATAAAGTCCATAAATTGGCCTCATTGCTGACACACAGACGTACATGTACACAACCACACAGCGTGCGTGATTATTATTGGCCAGGCCATATTTATGACTGTTACCATGACAATCTTGTTTATGATCGGTTCCGTTTGGCACCTGGCTTTGTTTTTATTTGCCAGCTCGAGTTGTTTGTGTTTAGTCCCGTATGGGGCTGGACTGTATGTAAATTGTCTGTGCCAGTTCCGTTTTGTCATGGGAAACTGCTTCTGGCTCTGCTTGGGTGCTAGTCTCTTAGGGGCCCTTGTGTTTTACTGTCTTACATCGGTCGTAATTAAAGGGAATGTACAACATTTGCTTTTGCTGCAATTTTCAGAAATAAATGGATTGGAGGATTAGTATGTTATAGCAAATATTGTTAAACTGACTTGCTTCACGTTTGGAGCTTGTAGATGCTTGAAAAACCAAGACAACCAATCATGTTCTTGTAGTCTTGTTCCCTGATCCACTTAAGATGAAACGGAGCAATTTATAGACTTTGGGGAATTGTAAGGTCAGAGAATCAGTCTAGCAGGCTTGTACCCCTCCACATATGTGCCATCAATTACAAAGAAATGCCGAATAACTAAATATGAAACATTATAGGAGCAGTTTTTTGAGGAAAAAAACCAGTTTTTTCTCCAACGCTGGTCGGCCGACCAGTGTTGGAAAAATACAAATTTTCTTGAAAATGTCAGTACACCAGGAGCCACGATTTTACAGGATGCTTTAGACTGTCACTCCCTAACAATCCAGTAAGGTATTTCGTGATAATTTGCTCATATCATTTTTTTGATGTTTGCAAATGTTGTATCTTCCCTTTAAAGGTGCTGCTCGTTTCTGTCTTTTGAGTATGTGGTTTTGGACAGCTGTAGGTACATGTTTCTTTTTTTGTTACCCTGTAAAGAATTTAGACACTGTGTGTTATCAGCTGTTCATTTGCAGAGAATGTATAGGATAACTTATTTAGGAAAACCCTCTGTCAATTTATTACAAAGTTCAATTCTCTCTCAGAACGTGTGAGTGAGAAAGTTCATTTACATTTACCCGGTATGTTAAATTGGTGGCTAGAGAGATTTGTTGATGTCTGGCAAATTTTGAAAGGTTCAACTGTCTCGTAGCTTTCTTCATAACTTTAGGTCATTGTTTAATGCATTTTGGAACCAAATCTAAAAGAAAGAATCTGCAAGTTGGTAATAGAAAGTTGTCTAATGCCCGGAGAGCAGAATGCTTTATGTTACTTTTAAACAGCTTGATTAAATTTGTTCTGTGATAGATGCATCTCAGATGGATATTGAGCTTACAACATGTCATTGTTCAAACTTTTGTAAAGAATAGAACCATTAAAAACAAGGGAAAACAAGAAAAACCATGATCAGTTTCTGAGAAGCTACACGTACATGGATAATAACCTTGTAAATGTCCATGTTTCAAAACAACAAAATAAATGCCTCGATGCCAGTCTAAAAATTCTACACCAAATTTTGATGACAACTGAATCTTTTCAGCCTTAAAAGATGCACAAATGTATAAGGAGGTACATGTATTAAAGTACACATATGATTGCCCAGAATTAATACAATTTCATGGAATTTTCTTGTGTGCTAAAAGTAACGTACGTGTATCATGAATGTACACACTAAATGAATTTCCTCCCATTTAAGTGCCAGAAAACTGTGTTAGAGAATCGCGATATGAATCTCATCCGACATACAGGACTTGGCTTAATTCCAAGCTGCCCATTCTAAATGCAGTTCTTCCTCACTTCTCGTTATCCAATGTCCCCTGCTAGGAAACGAGCGACTTCGCTATCCATTATATCCCACCAGTATTTCCCCACCCCCTTCCTGTACCTGTTATTTACCCTCAATGTTACCCACCTTCTTTTAAGATGGTTCCATGTTAGAATTTGCCATGGTTTTCATTTTTTTGGGGGGGGGGGGCAACACATCTTTGACTGATCAGTTTTAGAGAAAATATTTCTCTTGTGAAGGAATCGAGTTGATGGTTCATTTTTTTCACAAAGACCCATAGACTAAATTGGTTGTGGATTTACTAAAAACCATTAAAAATAATTCATATTTATAACAAGAAAAATGAATTTTAAAAAATGAAGTGAATTTGAAATATCCAACCCAAAAACTAACCCATTTTAACAAGAAGACAGAATGCAGGTAAAATACAAAAAGGTCTATTGTTAAATTGTAAAAATGCATAACAATTCTACACAATGTAACAGGAAGCAGATATTTGTAATGAATGAAAAACACTTTTAAAATGTATACAACCCTAGCATTGTAACCTCCGATGGACTTTCCTGGAATCGTGTGAAAGATCTTTCCATAAAGGCAGCACTTGTACTGGAACATGTACATTTGTGTCTGTTTGATTTATGCTCTTTGACAAAGGCCAATTTCTTTAATGCACTTTTTTTGTGACCATCAGAACCTAGATATACCGGTAGTTGCTCTGTTGTGCAGTAAGCACAGCATACAGCATGCAAACTCAAGAGGCACATTTTGCTTGAAGTAGTGATAAAACAATAGAAATCTCCATTTGCGCACAATTATCTTTGCCGTTGAATAAACTTCAAGGCCAGCGCAGTTGTCATTTCATTGGCCTCTAATGATGAGGTGTGGTGTTGATTTCCTCTGCCTGTCATCAAAAGTGGTTTTCATGGCGACAGAATTTGGTATTTTTTTCAAAGCAGTGTATCCACTAAGCTCAGTAGTCTCCATTCTTAGTAATGCTTTCTATGTTTCCATAATTGAAAATAAAACAAAATAGGTGTGATACTTAATACATATTCATGATATGGCTCTGTATTCCCATTGGTTCATGGTCATTACACACAGTGCTTTAGGACGTTTGGTTATTACCGTAATAACCGCGTGCAGCTTTGCACGGCCTCCGGGCACCGTCGTTGAGTAACGTCCACAAGAAATGTTATTTCAACAAAATTTTCATATCGGAAGAATACACTCCTTGTGATGCTTCCAATTTGTCTTGATTATCTCACTCATTCGAACAGGCCACCTGCATTGTCTGTTCCCCCTACCCTGGGGTATTGCGCTTCTCACAACCCCCCTCCCCCTAAAGCTTAAACTGATGAGGCTGCTGCGTGCCTCTCGTATCATTTGTTGAGTCCCAACACAAAGCCCAAACAAGATTATTTTTCAACGTCCAAAAAGCCGGGGGCAAAAATATCAATTTAGCAGGCCAACACACCTGTAGCCGTATACACATGTATCCCCGTACACCCGCTACCTGTTTACTTTGTATAGATTTTCCATTTCCTTTGCTGCGATAAACCTCATCCCCACAGCATTTTGCCTCCTCAAGGTGTAGTACACAATGAAAATAGACAGCTTAGCCTTCTGGCTGTCATATGTAACGCTGGAAAGCTCGGGGGAGGGTTACATAAAAATCGGTGCGCCGGTGCAGTTGCCTTGTATAAATATTGCGCATCTTTTGCTCAGAAATTTATCCGGTCTGGATGCTGAAGATATTGCATTGTTTGGTTGCTTAAATGTGCTGTAAAAAACGTTTCCTGGGAAAATGAGTGAATGACATCCTTTCAATGTTTGGAGAGTTTGTACAGATTGAACCATGATAAAAGGCTGATTGCGATCAGCTTTACGTGGGAATAGCTATTTAGAAGCATTTCAACAAATTTCAAAAGAGTGCATTTTTTCTTTCAAACTTCTTGTCCGACAATCAGTCATGTAGTTGGATGTTGGTGGGGATGATTGCTTATTCCTTGAGGAGAACTGAGGCTGGCACAAATATGAGAATAAAGAAAATATAGGGACAAAGGGTTTCAAGGTGATCAGGATGAACAAAGTGTAGATATATGGAAAGTTGGGACGCTAGAGATTTGGGATGTCCATTTTTGAATAATTTAAAATGTAGTATTCAATTATTCGAATCTGAACTTGACTGAATATTCAAATATTAAAAACTCGCCAATCAAGTTTTACACGTGGCAGCTGCAGCTTCCCTTGCTGGTCAAAAGTTGCATAAGTAAGCGCGCCTGTTAAAATTTGCATGCAGGGATGGACATTATGAGCCACTGGAGTGTTTTGCACTAATTACTTACTAACTGTCAAGGGACTTTACCCAGCTAAAATAATGGGACCAATAAAAAGGTGTCGACAAAAAAGTTATCCTCGACAAAAAAGTGGCATCTGATAATAAAAAACCACATTTTTACGATTATTTACAGTCATACTTGTATGCATGTGCACAGTTTTTTCTTTTTGAATATTCAAACCGGCAAAAAAGCTATTCGAATATTCGCTTGGTGATCAAATATTTGTATATTCGGGATAGCCCTACTAGAGATGGAATTTTGAGCTAGGTGGGACTTGAACCCACGACCTCCTGCTTACCATTGCAGACATCTTAAAACCACTCACCCACCAATTCCATTCTGACGGGGACTGCAATGAATGTTACCTTGTGTTGGGGAAATCACAATTTTTATTTGGTTTGTTTGCAGTCACATTGGGTTAAAAAGATTATCATTATCATTCAATCTGGAATATGGTCATACATTTGTTTTTAGCAGAGTCAAGATTTTCAACCTTTCAGTGCTAAACAAAAACACCTTATTCAAGTTTTGAATCTGATTTGAAATGTTGTGTGAACGGAGTAAAAGTTTTTTAAGAGTTCGATAAGGATCCGATCCTGAGATACAGGATAGTGCTGAAAGGTCGGTAGCCTGTGAAACAAAAATCTGTTGTGTGTGAATTTGCCCATCTGGCTCCTGGGTGACATTCAGCCATTCTGGAATGACAAAGATCACTATTTCTTCTCCCCCTCCTGTCGTTCACTTAACGCAGAGGTACTTTTCCAGTGTGACAAGTGGCGTACACCAAGGGGTAGTCTCCATGAGTGAAGCGGCGCTCGCTAGCTCCAGCCCGCCAGATACTAAGAGACGAAACTCATCGGCTGATGAGGATGGGCATTGCACGTCGGAGGTAAGCTTGCGTGGCCTTGTGGTGAGTCGCACTTCCAGCTCCCCCCCCCCCCCCCAACTAAGGAACCTGATTTACTATTTTCATTTTTTTTTAAAACCCTAAATGATTCTTTTTAATGAGATGTCAAATATTTGTGAATTCAATCTGAACTAGAATCATTCCGGAGTCTTAAGTGTCAGCCTTTTTGTGTATAATGATACTTTCAAAAATTCTTGAACTTTGAATTTTGGAAAATGTGAAACCATTTCAGTGAAGTACATTGATCAAATTTCATTTACTATGATACATACATGTACATGTATGTTCTCATAAGATACAAAAAAGACCTGTCATGTATATTTTAAAAGCAACGTACATTTTAAATTGTATAATTTAAGAGTACATGTATACATTGTAGTATGCATGTTGGTTCCCTAAAGTGTTTTCCATACGGAATGTAATTTTTTTTTTTTAGAACTGTGTAGTAAATTTACACCATACTTTTATATCCATTTTGTTGATAATAACTGCAGTTCTACAGTTTGATATTTTTCTAGAGACTGTACATTAATGGCGGGATACTGTATAAACATGTCAATAATGCACATTTTTTGTCCCCCAAAATATGGAAGAGTCAACACACAGCCGGCAGAACGGATCCGCTTTGCGATTATTTTGCAGCACAGAATTTGGTCGTTTATTTTCATACCGATATGCGGGCCCCCAGAATTGTTTATCCATGGCGCAGTCACCTGACCGGACTTGTCAACATTCTAAACAGATGTTTGTTTTTGTTTTTAGCCTGGGGACGGCACTCCTAGAATGCAATAAAATAACAGCGTTTGAAGCCATGGAAAGTTCTTGTTTTCCAGATGTGCCGTTCTGTCGCATGTTTACATGCGCGCTCCCCTCCCTTTTGTGAAGCAGGGCTGCATTGTTTACTTTGATCACAGGCCAATTGATTATGTGCTGTGTATTGACTCCAACCTCCGGGCATAAATAAATCATGTTGGATATAATCCCAAAGTAGTTATTCACAGAAATATGAAAAAAAAGCTGCATAAGATGAATTTTGAATTTTCTGAGCATATAATTTGAAGGATTTGGTTGGTTGATGGTTTTTCTATATTATAGGTATTATACATGTAAGTACAAGTTGATTTACTTTATGTCAATAACACTTTCATTTTCTTTAATCGGCTAACAATACTATTTAATTAAAAACAATCCTTATTTTCCATTTTTCAAGTTGAATGACTTTTGATTGAAACTGTAAATCTAAGCTCAATTTCAACAACTGGATTGATTTTCAATTTTCAAAAGTTGAATGACTTTGAAAAAAACCTGTTAGTATTACAACAATTTGCGTAGTACATACATAGGCCAATGTACAACTTGAGAAATTGTACTTCAGATGAAAAGTTTCAATATTAGGTTTTGCCCTTCACCGACGTATAAACACTGCATACTCGGTGTGTTACCTCCCGAGTGAAAGTTGGAAAAGAATCACTCGGGTGGGACTCGAACCCACGACCTCCTGCTTTCTAGTGCAGATGTCTAACCACTCGACCACCGAGCTTACGTGTTCGGTTGGCTGGTTCAAATCTGATATACGGTACATGTAGCAGCGGGTACTGCATTCAACTATTCATAAGATGGAATTTTGCATCAGGTGATGTAAATCAATATTAGAGTTTGCCCCTCACCGAGGTATAAACACTGTATACTCAGTGTGTTACCTCCCGAGTGAAAGTCGGGTGGGTACGAGTCCCACCCGAGTGATTTTTTCCAACTTTCACACGGGAGGTTACACACTGGGTAAACAGTGTTTATAGGTCGGGGAAGGGCAAAACCTAATATTGATTTACATCACCCCGACGCAAAATTCCATCTTATGAAAAATTTCTTGAAGTTCTGAAGTCCATGGTCTGTGTTTTCCTTTTTTGTGTCTTAAAGAGTGCCGTTTCTCTTTCCCTTTCTCCTTAACTCTCCAGGAGATTAGCCGGTCGCCCCACCACCACCACAATGCTCTCCACTTCCACCCATCCCAGTCCCAGAAGCCAGCAGCAAGCAGGTCCAGTCCTTCCAGCCTGGAGAAGACCGCGGCGGCGGCCGCAGCAGCTGAACAGCAGCAACAGCAGCAGTTTCTGCTCCATCAGCACCTGTCCCAGCAGCAGATGCAGCAGCTTCTCCAGCAGCAGGTGTTGACGCCGCAGCAGTTGCAGTTGCTCATGCAGCAGCAGTCGTACTTGCAGCAGCAACAGGTAGGTGTAAGTACATCATCACCTGTGCTTGTTCAGTAGTTTTGTTGCAGGGTTTAGGGACCCACACCGGTTGAACGAGGACCAGAAACTTTGTGGAGTCGGTTGAAAGTCCCCACAACTCGGTTCAAGGTTTTCTTACAAATGTAAACCTCCTCCCAGGGCATAAACACAGACCAATTCCGACTTGAAAGTTCTCATTGACAAAAATGCTGTCTTGACAATCCTTAGGTCATGGCTCCTTCTGACCCTGTTAAAACTTTAATAATAGTATTAAACCTTACAACTATCAGTTCTTTCCAGTCTTTGCCTTAAACTTAAAGTTTTGGAAAGGGCAACAGACCGTCAGTAGTAGTATTTTATAAGGGTCTGTTGTGTGAAAAATGTTGGGCAAATGTGATGTTTTAAATGGAGAGCTCAGAAGTGCACCATTCCTTTATTTCATTGTGGCAGATCTTATCACTGGGTGTTGTACATGTTTATTTTTGAAGTAAAAAAAAAGGAAATCTTACCGTAGGATCTTGCCTTTGTAAACATCCTGCCAGGGTCTAAAATGTCAGGACATCTAACTTTGTTGATTTGCGCAGTTCAAATCAATCCAGGCAGTTAGCAGTTTTCAGGAGTTCTATTCATAGTTCATTTCTATAAATTGTTAGTTTCTCGAGTTCCTTCTTTAATAAATTCCCTGTACTTGGATGTTTATAATGCATTCTGTGACAAAGCGGTATCAGATTCCTTCATACTTCTATTGATCTAAGTAACCTGTCTAAACCATCACTAGTTTGCATTTTAGAAATATTCATTCCTCCTGACTTATTAAGGTGATCACAGTGATCTTTGTCACCTGGATTTTAAGCTTAGCCATAAGGTGTGTGAGTTTCGGAAACAATCAATGATCCAATCTTTCCTTCAAGTAAGTGCCCCTGCAAAGTGTCTATATCCACCGCAGCTGTGCATCCATTGGCCCAAGATTCCCCTATGTGAAACTAAACACCACTTGTTTGGCGGACTGCGCATTTTTTTACCGAATCACGGAGCGAAATTGTCCCCAACACTCGAGGCCCCTCAGAACCCCAGGTCCTTATGTTTTTGCATGCGCAGTGAAGGAACTTCCATCTTTAATTGACCGGGCAGTTGACAAGCAAAGCGAGCACTTCACAAATTGCACTTTTTTTCCTCCGTTCGTCTTCTTCTGAGTCAATTTCAGCTCTCCAGCCGCTCGGCCTACCACATTAACCTCGACTCCAGTTTCAAATAATTTGGAAAATATTAGATTTTAGGTAAACACGCAAGGGTTGAGATAACAGCCTGGCTGTGCTGGGGCTGTATTGATTTGTGTGTATAGTTGGGTGATGTTGTTTTCGTCAGGGCATTGACCATTTACTCATACATACACGGCAGGGGCTGACGTGAACGCACTCTTGCTGTAGAACGACCCGCATTAGTGGAGCAGTTTTCAAGACATTGATGGTTTATTACCCGTCCCACCCTAGTCTTAGTTCTCGCGATCATCCACCGTAGAATCTCTCCAGAGATACACATCAAGGCACACGATGTTGACTTGTTTCTTTGTAAATTGAATTAATCTCATATCCAGAATGTCAGATTTCCAGCTTTAATATAGCGCCGATTCAATATCAATTCTCATAGTGACTAGGGAAGCAACTTGAAGATGCCAAGCTTTGATTGTTCAATTAAGAAGATGACATATTTCATGTGTGATACATTCAATGATGATTGTCTGTATGAGACAGTGGATGTTTAGCCTTGAGAGGATGGGATCTTGAGAGATAATGATCTCTCATCATTCTTAATTGTCATCTCTGAGAAATTAAACAAGAGTCTCTCTGTCTTCTGTACAACAGCTTGTTCAGTTATTGAAATACTCGTCAGCATGCCATCGGTACATTATTTGCAAATTCAGGACTCATTTGGTGATTGTCAACGTTTACGGGACGATGTAACAAATTGATTTAGGAAAATGTGTTTACAAATGTTAAAAGCTGATCGTTGGGATATTTCTTTTGTGTTGTTAGAAGTATTGAGTTTTAAAGGGAATGTACATGTACAACATTTGCTTTTGATGCAATTTTCAGAAATAAATGGATTTGGAGGATTAGTATGTTATAGCAGATATTGTTAAACTGACTTGTTTCACGTTTTGGGCTTGTAGATGCTGGAAAAACCAAGAAAACCAATCATGCTTTTGTAGTCTGGTTCCCTGACCCCACTTAAGATGAAACAGAGAAATTTATTTTGGGAATTGTAAGGTCAGAGAATCAGTCTGGCAGGCTTGTACCCCTTCACAGGTGTGTAATCAATTGCAAAGAGAATCCGCGGGAACAACTGTTATGAAAAACTGTTTTCTCCAACGCTGGTCGGGAAAAATACAATTTTTCTTGAACATGTCAGCACACCAGGAGACACGATTTTACAGGATGCTTTTGTCATCCCCCAACAATCCAGTAAGGTTGGTCGTGATAATTTGATCATTTCGTTTTTTGATGTTTGCAAATGTTGTATCTTCCCTTTAATAGGAACTCAAACTTCAAAGAACAATCTTATTTGGATTATCCAGCATTTTTGGATGAGAGGGGGCGCGGATGAAACGTTATTAATTAAATGTGATGTAAATCAAATTTGCTTTTTCGTCCCTTGGTTTTTGTGGGGAAGGGGTGGGGGTGGGAGTGGCAAGTTGTCTTTCTCCCGTTGGATCTTTTTCAGCTTGCTGTCACTTTCTCCCAAATAATAAAGTGTTGTACCAAAAGCAGTCATGCAACTCATCTTACCGGTACATGTATGCATAGCTATGCACGTAGGTGTGGATCAATAAAAAGAGGAATTGAGCCAAGCTGTTTATTTGTTTTTATTGCCAGTTGCAACACAGCAGTCTTAATAAACAAGAGTTAGTGATGTAGAACGACTCACTCGAGATGTCTCCTCTCCTAAGGGAACCAACAATAACAGCTCGAGTAGGGGGAAAAAAAGCCTTTTCGAATTACTTGTATTATTGTTTCCAACATGTCAGCGTAAGTCATTCACCCCCCTTTTCCTGCGATGTTGACGATAACGACCGGGTGCTTTCGCTAGTCTCTCTCTCTCTCTCTCTCTCTATCTATCTCTCGGTTTGTATACCTGTATCTACAATATCCGTCGCAATGTCACCGAGTGCGAAGTGTTGGATCAATTTTCAGTCTCGGATATCTCATAATGTGGTATCGCGTTTCTTGTGTACCTTAGACATCAGCAATTATAGAATGCGATTCAATTTTACAGGAAGGCAAGTGAAAATCATAAAGTTGGGTTTTTTTCCTTCTTTCTTTTCAACAAATCTGATTAATAAAGAACATAACGGCTATGGTTGTTTCTGAGACTTTGAGTTTTTACGAGTCTCTGAAATTGATCAAATTAAGCAGTAATCATCAGGTTGTCGCGTAGTCTGCACGCAGCTAGAGCCATGTTATTTTGCCATGGGGCTCGTTGCTTGTTAGTTTTAATTAAATTGATGAATCGCTTGTCATTTTTTCTCTTTGTTCGTCAGTTGTTGGCCTGTCTCTTTTCAGGAGATTTTTTCTTCTCAGTCTCACGGGCAAACAGAATGCCAGTGAGTGATTGGTTGCAGTTGCCGACATTTCACTAACTGCCACACTAGATGGTTCTTCCGATCAGACAAGAAATTAAAACCTGTTCCTTGAATGCTCTCGATTCACATCTGTAGTCATTGTTTTGTTCCCATCTTTTTGTTTCAATGAACAAGGTTGCACCCACTGGTCAGCGTGGCAGCGTGCATATGTTACAAAGTCTGTATCGCTTGTTTTACTCTGAATGTGCTTGAACATGTAGCATAGATGTCAGCGTCGCACACAACGTGCGCTGCCTACTCCCACCCAGTGGTCTCCCCCAACTTTCCATTTGTAACCATTGAGAGGGATACTTGTGCACACAAACGTGTGTTCACCGTCGATCATGGACATCCTATTGCCCCTCTTTTGTTTGTACTCTTTTGTTTGTACTTTTTAGGAAGACTCCCATAGGTTTTGTACACGACCCCAATCACGGACGTTTGCTGGGAATCGTGGACGATATTGTTCTCTTTTGTTCTCAGGTATTTTTCATCCATGGTTTGAAAAGATGAATACGTACACTGAGTCCATACCGATATATGCAAAAATAGTTTGGGGGTTTTATTTATTTTAGCAGAGTATGCAGTTGTCTGGTGTAAAATCAGGTGTTTCTGATTTTGAGTGACTTTGGCCTTGATTTTAGAGACTGAGTCACAAACGTTGACCGGCAAGTCGGTGGTCGAGCGGTAAGACGTCTGCACTAGGAAACAGGAGGTTGTGGGTTCGAGTCCCACCCGAGTGATTTTTTTTAAACTTTCACTGGGGAGGTTACACACTGAGTATACAGTGTTTATAGGTCGCCAGAAGGGCAAAACCTAATATTGAAAATGATGACTTGGTTGGCTCAAAAACTGAGAAAACGCCATCGTGAATATGACTGTATGAATAAAAAATAACAAACGACATTTTGGGATGGCTGTCTTTTGGCAGAAAACTACACAACAGCGTGGCACTTGGCTCAAAACAACATAGTGTCCTCTGCATTTAGAAATTGACTCATCGCAAAAACTTCCCCAGAAAATGCCTTTTTTTCCAGCTTACATTTTGTGTTGGTCACGAGCACCTTCCTGCGTTGATACAATAACCAAGCCTTTAGTGTGCACATGTGTACAAGCTCAGGTTTGTAAAGACCTTTTAATCAAAGTTGGATGTTATCAAACCTCTGCTAGTAGCTCTACTTGTCATTATTACAGAGCCAAGGGCTCCGTCTTCGTGGCAAGAAGGAAATTAAAAATTAAGATGGAAGAGCAGATGATCCATAACTGTGGACACAATCATCTTAACTTGATTGTCACTATTGTCATAATCCCTTTATCGTACCTTTTTTTCACCCGGGGCCTTCCTATGCAAGAAAGAAAAGAAGGGGGGGGGGTTGAAAAAAACAGA